GCCATTTTTCTTCTGTTCCCAGTTCGCCTATTCAAGCCAAAAATCGAATAAGTCTGAGATCAGATAAAGTCAGTGGAAGAAAATGTAATCTTCCCCTGAAAGAAAAACAAATTTCATTGCCGCTATATATTAAAGCACTAACAAAAGTGGGGGAACAATCGATGTCGTGGGTGAGGAGGTCAGAAAAAAAAACCATCCTGAAATTAAAATGATCTGCTTCCCACTGCTTTCTGCAAATAGGGTTGAACTGGGAAACTTTAAATTACATTCTGTTACCTTTGCAGAGGGAGTGCGAAGCCGTAGAGAAGCACGTGCGTGTACATTCAGGCACGCACATACACATACACCTCCTCCTCATCACCAGGAGACGCACACGCAGCTCCCACACCTATTATCCTCTTCCTCCAGGCTAATCACAAAGCTGTGTCCCTGCCCCTCCTGTTTCTGTTTCAATTCCCACCCACCCAAGTTAAGCCTGGAGAGAGGACTATCTATATCAGTGTTGGCGTGTGTGTTTGTACAAGGCGACTTGCCTCCTCTCCCCTTTTTTTTGTACCAGTACCCTTCTGTACCCTTGACTCTTGTCATACCTGTGTGTGTGTGTGTGTGTGTGTGTGCGTGCGTGTACGTGCGTGCGTATGTGTCTGAATGGGTTCCAAGGCACAAAAGAGAGGCAGATTAACATAACAATATCCAAATCCCCTTCTGCCCTTGGAACAGCAGGCAAAGAAACCAGGCTAGCTTTATGTGTGTTTGTTCCTGTCTGCGTGCTTCTATATGACCTTATATGAGTGCATCTTTGTGCGTCTCCATCTGTACCAAAAGAGTGGTCACGATTGTGCGCCTGGGGTGTGTCTGTAACAGTAACAGAAAAAGTGTGTGTGTGTGTGTGTGTGTGTGTGTGTGTGTGTGTGTGTGTGTGTGTGTGTGTGTGTGTGTGTGTGTGTGTGTGTGCTAATCTAAACACAGCGCACCCAGGCGTGAAGTGGAGCAGTCTAGTCAATATGCTCCAGTATCATATTGTCATGCTGTGTTTCCACTTTGTATTCCCTGCTATCAGTTCAGGCCAGAGCCACAGGTCAGCTTATCGGTTGTACTACACTTGTGATGTGACAGCAAAGTGCGCGGCCCACTTTCATCTCTAGGGTCAGCGAATAAATCTACAAACCAAGGAAATCGTAGAATAACCAGCAGATACTGCAGGCAGGAGACATATTGCATACAAATCTGCAACTCGATGGAAGTCTTTGACCTAATGCTGTGTTTTAAATAGCATGCTTCTACACTACTTACACTCGATATTTTGAGTCCATAAGTGTTTTCCCAGCACATGAAGTGCTCTGCAAGTACCAGGGATCAGTGATGTTGCCGGTGCTAGCTCACTAGCTAGGAATGGCAGATTCTTTTCAGGTACTGCAGCTAAAACCACACACCCAAAGGACTGTTTATTGTCTTCTCACTAAGGAAGAGGTAAGTATTAGTTTAGTTGCTCCCAGGGGCTTCGGCAAATTGCACGCAAGATGTTAAACCCAAAGTCCATAAGTTTTCCTACCTTCTTAAATTCACATACGACACAAGTTAATGTTTAGTGTTCACAGTGCAGTGACAGATTTTGTGAACCAAAAGATTTTGCACAACTGGAAATCAGTCAAACACTAGCGAGCCAAATAACTTTTGCAAGAACTACTGCAGTAATGTCTCAGGGTCTTACCAGCTCCACCCTTGTGCTTGAATTGTGCAGAATATACGTCAGACTCCTGTGTCAGTGAACAATGCCAAATGACCTGGCGTGGCTCTGGCTGCATTCACACACTCTGAACTCTCGCAGTAAAAGCAGAATTAACCTTATAGTCTTTGAGTTTTAACCTGTGTCTAATAAACACTGCGGCATCTGTGAAGCATTCACATTCACGTCTGTTATTTCTTTTTTTCTTTTTAACCCTGTCATCCTCTCCATATTTTCTCCTCTCCTGCTTCTTCCAAAGAAAAAGGGAGCAAATGTACATTTTCTCCAGAATGATTCTGCTTTGCCCCAGCTTCTTCCTCACATCCACTCCCTGCTCTTTTCTTTGTTAGCACTCCTGAGTTTCACTTTCACACCCATCCTCTTGTTATCACCCTCACGTTGAGTGTCTCACCTCAATTTGTCCTCATTTCACTCATCACACAGGTCTCTGTCACTTGCGGCATTCTCACTCTTATGCCTTGTTCTCAACATTCATGAGAGCTGGCCTCACAATTATCTAATCATGAGGACAGGGAGAGAATGGGAGTGAGAAACTGAGAAGAGGCGCTGAATTTGGGAGGGAATTTAACACAAATCTTGCTCTGGGCAAAGGGTATATGGCAGGTGTCCATGCATGAACTTCTGAGCATGCTCAGATCTATATGTGCACAGAAATTATGTGCCGGCACTAACGCTGTGCAAATAAAAATAAAATGTTGGGCGTTTCTATCAATTTAGCAGGTTTAATCTCTTCCATATGGGCATGGGGGCTAATGCATCTGCTAAGGCTATTAGCCGCTATGAGCCCTGTGGATGCAGGGTAGACTAGACCTATTATCAGTTTAGCAGTGACGGAAAACACAACCATAGCCAAAAAACACAACAACAACAGCAAACACAGTTGTCTCTGCTGTGAAAAAACACGGATCCTTTGCTGACCTCTACAGAGCTGGGTCAGGGTCAAGCTGATGAACAGAAAACAAGGTGAGGCTGAGGAAAAACAGTCCAAGGTGCTGATTGCTACAGTAACAGCTGACCCAGTTAGAATCCAGAATGTACCCAGATACACGATTACACACATATGCAGGAAAAATAATGTGAAACGTATTCACAGATACCCTGCAAAGCAAAAACGCACATGTACGCTGAATACCATCAATCAGTTCCTTCCCGAGGTTGGACCACATCCCCTACACTGTATCTGACTCACCTGAGTTCAATGGCCTCCCCCATCTCGCCCCAGGAACTCATTTCAAACAACAGCAAGTGAGAGAAGATGCAGAGAGATGGCAAGCTGAGAGAAAGACGTCCCTCAGACTGGCAGCAACAAGGAAAACATGAGAGGACGAGAGGAGCTAGAGAGCATGTGATGATATTGCGCTCAGAGTGAGGGACAGAGTGGAGGCGAGTGCGCAGTGAGGGGAGTGAGAGAGAGAGAGAGACAGAGAACCACACCTCTTCTTAAGGGATTAACTTGGAGAAAAAAAGCGCCAACACATTCTCACACTCGTGTGCCGCCGCGCACCCAAACACCAATCAAACTACCCACGACCTACGGTGCGGATGAGCGTCTGGCATACAGACGCGGACAAACAAATACAGCACACACACACGTATGCTCACAGCTGTTCTAAAAATAAAGACAAATCAATGTTTGACGCTCCAAATCCTGAGAGTGAGGAAAGAAGAGAGTGGGAGGATGGAAAGAGAGGGAGAGGAATGAGAAAAAGGAAAAGGGAGGGGTGATTAAGCGAGACATGGCGGGTGGTGACACAGTTTTCTTTGCTCTCCATCTGCTCTGGGCGCACTGGTCAAGAGTGCACTGGGGGAGAGGGCGAGAACTGGGGCTGGAGCCTGGGGACAAGACACTGGAGCTGGATCAGGAGAGGGTGTGCGCACTGGAACCCAGCCTGATAGTATGCTTCCACAGGGGTCTTTATTGGACACGTGTTTTTCCAGCACTGGATGTCGAAGGGTATAGGCCACAGCTGTACAACAGGCAGGGTACCCATCAGATGATTAGGGATAGCCTCAACTCCCTTTGCAAAGTGATGAAATGCACAAGCCACTCCCCAGCACACGTTTACTGGCAAAGCCGGAGAAACATGTGGATCAGGAAACACTGATGTGTTTCTGTTTTGAATGTTAAGACAGTGTGTTTCAGTGACAACTTGTCCATACTGCAATTCATTTTAGAAGCACTGTTACAGTTCTGACACAAGGTTTGGCATTTTTGGGAGGTTTGTGGGTCATGTGAAGCCAGAGTATATGCTGTTAAGGTCACCTTTATATAGAACTGTGCATCAAATTTAGAGCAGTCAGTTACACAGAGTGACTCTTAAAGAGTACCATAAACGAAGCTTATCATATGCACACTTACATTGGACTTAGAAAGTTTAGTTAATCAGGATAAAAATGTAAACATTTTCACGGTGATGCAAGAGAAGAAAGGTTTACTAATGTATTGGTTTTAGTGTTTAAAGCAAAATAATAAAAAAAAAAGACATGTATTCCATATGCGTTTGTGGGAGGAGTCCTATCTCAAGTCACAATATATGAAGCTTGCAAAAACTCACTTACTAACATTAGTGGGCAATTTCATAGCAAATATTTGTTTGCATTTGATATTGAAATGAACTGAATGCACACAAGTTTAGAAAACAACACCAGTAAAATTAACAACATACATGAGCTGTATTTTTTTTTTTTTGCACTCATCCTATGTTTGCCACATTTGGCCCATAGTGTTCAAAGCTAAAGCACAAAATAGGTGCTTTGTCAACTTGCAAATGCTTTATTATGTTGTTAGTCTCAAGATGAAGGATCAAAATGATTTTTTCACGCCATATGCTGTATTTAAAGGAAATACACACCGGCATACTTTCCTGGGACCAGAAGGGGGTAAGTCCGGCTTTATTGATGCAATAAAACGGTTATAAACAATCTATGGGAAAATTAACATACTTTTTTTCCTTCAGTAAACGTCTTCCTAATGAGGTTGTAGTCTTAATCACAAGTTTAAAGTTTTCTTCAAGACAACATAATGTTTGCATAAAAATACGTAAACTATGTTTCTATTTAGAGTAAAAAGAGATTATAATGAAGCAGAGTATGCTTAAGGGTGAAGGTCAAAATGCTTCCAGCTGGCCACAAAATAGTACTCTACAAACTTATAAGTGACAACACAACAGCAATGTCGATCTTTAATATATAGTAAATATTCTGTACATTCTTCTTCTACTTTCAGGTATTTCAAAGAAACTCAACTACTTACAGTTTTCTTAGTGAGTCAGGTGCTGCTAGAACTTCTGGTCTATATCAAAGATGAAGAGTTTTCCACAGAGGTCTGGTATCAATTTCTTTCTAACCCAAAGTTTTTTTGATGACTTAAGCAACGTTATCAAAGTTAATCCTATTTCTTCTCCATCCCGAGTCACTCGTGGCTTTATACAATATTTTTCCACATATGACGTCCCCAAAGCTAAACAGACTCCAATGCGTGAAACTGGTGGAGCTCCTCTGTAATGAAGGGCAGATGTTAGAGGTTGGACCAGGTTACGGCTGCAATGACGAAAGGGTTTGCTTGTTCAGTGTACTCTGGTAAAAAAAAAAAAAGATGTTTGCAACATCAGCGAGCCAGCCGATATCTGTGGCAGTTAGACTATATATTGAACACCACATTTCAGCTGTTTACCACACAATGGTTTCTATGAAGGATCACATTACTGATGCTGAAATAACTTTCCAAATCAGTAAATCCCCGATCATAATTCTATAATGCTGTGCAGACTTTTGGCTGCTGATAAGCTCTCAAACTTGTGAATCATTATCTCAAACCAAATGCCGGGGATATTATTTGTTAATCACTTTTTTTTTTTTAACCAACACACGCCTTACAACGCAGTGCTTTGCAGCAGGGCTGTTTTCATTTTGCATAGCTACTAAAACTGGGGATACAGAAGAGCAAGGGCTGGGTGACTTAAAGAGTTAGGCTGAATGTCATACACTAAATGAAGATGACTGTTGGGTCTGTGGGAAACAAAGGCAGCAGTGCATAGATAGAGAGGCACAGCTACTGTAAGAGGACTGACAAAAGTTTGGGGATTAGACAATAAATAAATAATAAATTTAATATGTTGGGCGGCGAGGGGTGGGGTCATTGAGTCAAACAGGACTGTTGGACTGTGTAGTATGAATGTACACTGTGGACTATGACGGTCTTGTCAGTCACAGATGATTTGCTTCTTCTTACCTACCTGGGTAAGGTTAATGTCTTCTAGCCTACACTCAGAAATTTAGAGGCTACAAGACAACAACCAGTATGCTCAACTGTATCAGAGGTTTAGCGCTGTTTCCAAGTGGATAAAATCAAATATCTGTCAGGAAGCTGAATCTGATCACAAGGATTTGAGATGCCTTCTAATATAAGTCAAGGTGTGACTTGCAACTGGAGCCAGACTTTTAAGTCTTTGTTTTAGGCTGTAGTTGTAGCCTGAGGCTAGTCTCTCTCTTCTCTCTCTTTTCACACATTCCCAGGCTTCCATGATGCCAGATCATCCTCTAAGCTGTTTACCCTCCAACACCCAGAGCCAGAGATCAGCGATAGATGAGACTGAGAGGGATCAAAACGCTCCGTTTGTGCTCTGGTGTTACACGTGTCTGTTTTAGATACGGCACTCTGGGCATTTATGGCTCCCAGCTTGGAACGATCAACACATCACCTTTCATGCTGTATCTTACATTAGGTTCCTTCACATGGACTTTTATTTCCGTATTTCTTTATTCATCTGAAAGACCAACACCATCCAGTCATTTTAGCTGTGGGCAAAGCCTTTGCCTTGTTTTCAAAACCTTTCCAGCTCACACACTGCTAAAACAGTTTCTATGCCCTAGCTCAAACCATTCATTGACCCCCTTGAGCTCTATAGATGGAGGCACCGTCATCCTACAGGAGACCACTTCCATCACGACAACAGACAATTCAGTTCAATTTTATTTAATATTATTTATGCAGCACCAACTCGCAACTCAGTCGCCTCAAGACGCTTTATATTTTAAGATAAAGATGCTACAATATTAAAGAGAATCCCCAACGATCAAACGAGCAAGTATTTTGAGCAACACTTGGTGACTGGGGAAAGGAAAAACTCCCTTTTAACAGGAAGAAACCTCCAGCAGAGCCAGGCTCAGGGAGGCACAGCCATCAGACACAATCAGTTGGGGATGAACAGAGGAAGACGGGACAAAAATCACACTGTAGTCGACAGCTAACACGTTCAGGCTTTCCTTGAATATAATATACATAACATGATGTACATTCACATCCCTGTTTTTGTGTGCTCATGCTTTGGCAGCATCCATCACATAAAATATCCACAAATAATAAATCCACTTTGAGCTGAAAACAATTACAGTGAAACGGTGACAGGCCTAACAACACTGTGACTCTTCCTTAAATGCTCCCACGGGTAAACTTGTCTTACTGTTCTTTCATTAGACAAGACCGCAAACAAATGTGTAAATATGCTATGCAGCTGAAGCAAAGATCAGCAAAGCACCATAAACAACCGCATCTAATCCACTAATCTCATTCAACACAAGCAGCATGCAACACATACAATTGTTACCGTTTTACCCACTGTCTTATGATGCTAAGTCACATTTTGTGCTAATAAAAAAACCTCACATTTAGATAAGGATTGATTACAGACCAGGGACAAAACAAGGACAACAAAAGGTTTCAAGTAGCCTTGAAATTTCTAACACTTCTTCCAAAAACTGTTACCACTAATATGGCTTAACCTGAAAAAGGCCAATATTTGAATTTCATATTATAAAGGCGTGCAAATTCAACACGTTGTTGTTGCAAGATAAGCTGCTTGCCTTGTTAAAAAAGGTGCACAGCAAAAATTGTGACATTTAGAAAAAAAACCAAAATGCCACAGGCAATCATTTTGTTTATCTACACTGTCATATTAAATTCTGCTCCAGCAATTATTTGGTGACAGAAGAAAAAAAAAACGGACGCGACTACACCTGTTAAAGGTGATGCAATGCAGGCTTACTATGAACAACGGCGGTAAGGTTAAGATCTCTCTCGCTGTTTAATTTTGACCTCTTCCCAACATTTTTTATTCTATTGTTTTGATCATCATTAACTTGCCGTCCTCCTCTCATTTCTCTTTCATTCCTTCAGGAGAAAGCTGCAGAGCTGGAGAGAAGAGGAGGGTGAGAAAAGAAAAGGATCTAAAAATATGTGGCGATGAAGACAAAGCCACAGAAGACAAAAGAGTGAGAAAGGTGTGCTACATAATATATCTATAATATTCTAACTCTAGTGCTCTACTGTATCGCACTGTACGCTTCTTCATCTGTCTCAGTGTGTATATCTGTTTACGGGGCAGACCTAACTAGCATAAGCTTATTATAACTGCTGTGTAGTTATGAAACAAGATGAGCTCACCAGCCAGGTGGGTAACACACACACTTCCTCATCACAATAAGTAAGCCCTCTGGCACGTGTTACAATCAAGTTGTTCCACCAGAAACATGATCATGTGTGTGTGTGTGTGTGTCTGCAAAGATGTTGAATTTAAGACTGTGTGGTTTTATAACCGTCATGCCTTAGTGGTTCCATAATAGTCTGTTATTTTAACCGACACTGACTGAATGTAATTTAGACTCCTTCTGTCACACAGACATAACCACAACTAACAATCGGTCAGGTTACAAATAGTCAATTATCTAAGTCTTTGTTCAAATAAGCACTCTTCCAGTGTTGCAGGGATCTTAAGTACAGGCCGGCGCACAGTAACTGTGAACCCTTACTGGTATCTGAAATGGGACCCAAACAAATCAAGTGTGATTAGTGGGCAAGTCATTCATTTTCCTTAAAGCTGTTTTATATTTTAGTATGAGTCACTGCACTGACATCAAATTGGGTCAGTCTGAACTCACAATGTCAGGATTCTGGCTCTGCTGCACAGAGGAAGCCATTTTTCCCACACACTCCTTCAATACTATTAAAAATAATATGGATAATAAGACAGATAGACAACAGATCAATATCATACAATTAATAAACAATCTTTATGGAGTGTAAGCAAGTGGATCTCAAACTTTGGGGCTGGCCCCATTAAGGAAACAGAGTCACTGCCAATGGGGTGAAGATTAAGGCCGCAGTGACACAAGCATAGAGACCAGTCAGCGACCCCCTGGCAACCTCCGGTCGTAAGGGGAAAAATGTGTTTTGCTGGGCCAACTGACTGCTGGAGGTTACTGGTTTTTGCTTGGGTGAAATCGGTCGTAAAGAAGGTCCTGCACCAAAAAATGTCCTTGGGATTTATTTCGTGACTAGCAGAGTCATCTATAGTTTGCATGGAAGACGTTGACTTGTCTGCAAACACAGCTGCAGTGATGAAATGTTGGGTGTTGATGGTGAACTTCTTTCAGCTTAAGTGAAACATACCAGAAAACATTTGAGAACCACTGCTCTAGGCCAAGTGGAAGACATTGAAATCCAGCCACTTTCTATGACGTAATTTCCTTTTAGCATACCACATGCTTTAGGCATGCACCCTGAAGTGTTTGCATTAGCGTGAAGGCATGTGTCTACAAAAATATAAAGACTTGTCTGTAATTCAGCAGTCAAATAACAAAAAGTTGTGAACCCAGCACACGATGATTGATTTTGGCCTCTTTGGGGAGGGCGTGCATCAACTTTTCTATCCAGCACTCCTATATCTTCACCTCACAAAGATTCACCTCCCCGACAATCATGAGTAGAAGTATCTGTATACTCTGATCAGCCACAAGATTACAGCAGCGACTGATAAAAAGGATAACACTGCTCATCTCAGTACAATACCACCTTCTGTTAGAAAACCTTGGGTCTTGGCACCACCCACCTAAACGCTGCTGCAGACCAAGCATGCCCTCCAATGGCAGTAGCACTTTCCCAACAAAATAGTGCACTACAGGACCACAATAAAGTCCCCATGGTAGGGCTGTGCAATAAATCTAATAGTAATTCTATTTAAATTTTGGTGAGAGCACTAAATTGAGGAGGTCAACTTGCAGGCTGGTGAAACCAACTTCATGATTTCATATAGCATATTGCTAACTTCTACTATGCATCCAGTGTCGAACGTCAGCTTCATCAGTGGTGTTCTGTAAAGAAACAGATGGGTGATCCTTAAGTGGGTCCACTCTTAATGCTACATCTGTCAATTCGAACCACTTCACCTCATCAATATGTCATTTCACCACCTCAGTGACTTCAGCTTAAGCTAACACAAGCGATCATATTGCGTGATAAGAATGCCTAATATATTTCGATTTCAGCTCCATCAAAGAATCCACCAAGACCTCTTTTTTTCCACCCCATCAAAATCTGTAATACAGTGCACGGATGGACAGGTCATCCAATATCGATGCTTGACAGCCAAATCCAGTGCCTTATCCTGACAGGCTGCTTAAATCGATTTTTACCTCCGGTCAGTACTGCTTTCTTTTTCTTCTCCCACTCCATCCATCTGTCTTTTCTCTCCTCAGTGACTCTCCATCATCATATGTCTCCATTATCCCTGACTTATCTTTCTCTACAGACCAACGTGAAGCCTGTAGTTACAGACAAAGCCTCATTGACCAACTTTAACACGATGGAGGAGTGTGTGAGCGCGCCCTTCAAGTGGCTTTGGATGCACATACACACGGCTGGTGGGTGTTAACTGATCAGGCCTGGGGCTCGGATACATGATCAATAACTTTCTGTAGTCTAGTGTGTGTGTGTGTGTGTGTGTGTGTGTGTGTGTGTGTGTGTGTGTGTGTGTGTGTGTGTGTGTGAGAACATTTGCACATGGGTCAGGTGTTCAAGGCCAACTGCTTGGCATTACCTCTCTCCCTACTCCCAATCAACATGACACCCAAACTCTGTCACGCTACAGTAGACATACACACACACATACATGCAAGGACCACATGAAAACCTTGCTGCTCCATGGCAACCAATTCCCATGGCAACCAATGGTATGGGTTTTTTTTCTTCGTGGGCTAGAAGAGTGAGAGGAGAATGAGGGGAAAAGGAGGGAGTGTGAGGGTGACAGATATTTGGGAGAGAAACTCTGGAAAAGAATAAAAATAGAAAGAAGGAGGAAGTGGAGAAGCAGCATGAACACACACACATACACACACACACACAATTTGGCTGTTCTGATGAGGGTGACGAGAGAGAGAGAGATACAGACAGTGACAACATTGTGGGTGAAAGGAGACCTCCCTCCTGGCTGATCACAACAAGCGCTTCGTAGCGCGGAGGAGAGATGTGGGGTAGTGTTTTGGGGTGAGAAAGAAACACTGAGATTAAAAATTAATGAAAAAGTCATCACATTTTGTGAAATGGTTCAGCTTAGAAAACTACAGTGTATATGCTTTATGCACACAGGGTATTAATATATATGCTGGGTAGTTAGGAGAAGAATCAGAGTGCCCGTGGTTAGCATATTTACAGCATATTTACATCTCCAGGTACCCTGTGTAAGTACTCCATAGAAACACTGTAATAGGATTGGAATAACATTTTCAATCCCTTGCCCTGTTGTAAGTGCACTGAACAGCCTTTAGCCTCTTCGCTCACACTCCCTTTTACTGGAGTGTAATTAAAACAGTGATTATGAGACTGCTTCACTTTACGACCTTGTAAGCTAAAGAAAATGAGAAAAACAGAGCCTTCTTGCATTTTCAGCTCCTCATTTCCTGTGAAAGGCATATGTAGCTGCTCTTGTAGCTATTTGTATTGACAGAAATACCATTCTTTGAATGGTCACTCTGTAATTTATTAATAAGGTTTGAGGATCAAGGTTCCTTTATTTGTCATTGTACACCCCAATATATAAGGGATTTTATTGTACTAAAAGTTAGAACGCTTTATCTGTGTTATCCCTCAAAGTTGTTGCTACCTATAGGCTGCATTCTTATTATACAGCCTATAGGTTTTTCAGCAATGTCATCAAAGCAAGAACTTTTAGGACATCTTTCTCTTATTTGCAGGCTATCATTTACTCATCCATGCACAGGACTTAAATTAAAATCTATTTGCTATAAAATCCATAAAGTAGAGGAGAGGAGTGCAGATCTGGGGGTTTTTGCCTGTGTAACAGCACCCCTGCTGGATGGAAGGAGCATCACTGCTATGCAGACCAGTTGCCTTTGGTCCGGGTTGTGCATTTGTATTTCTGTGTGCATGTGTTTGTGTGGATCATTCCCCAGGCTGCCTTCTATAACCTCTGACCTCCGACCTCCTGTCCAGACAGGAAGCTTCTTTTTTTTAATCCACTTTGCTGATACATGGAATGCATGTTTCAGTACGTGCACTGAATACTAAATGCGAGCTTCCCCCCCAAGATATGAACAGCATGTGAACTCGAGTTTTCTTCACAATTCATGTGTTGACTGTGACACAATGCATTCATACATAATGCATGTTTTGCATCTAAAGCAACAACATACGAGGCCTAAAGTCTAAAAATCAATATGGCTTTCAAAGCTTTTAACATCTGCCCCATCGCTCTGCTGTTGCCTGTCTGACAGACCTCTGTCTGTCTCCGCATTCCTAAAGAGGAAGCGTTTGGAGGATGTGCTGATTTAAAAGGTTGGCTTGAAGATAAAGTTTCATAGATATAGCTGGCATTTTTTTTCTTCAAAGCCCCTTCGAAAATATTTATTTTGCATGACATAGTTATATTTTTTTAAATGTTACTTGTGTCTTTAAACACATATTAAGAAGGCCCGAGGCGTTCTCTGTATATATATGCATGTATTATCAAGCTGTGTCTTTATCCATCTGTCTGTCAGTCTATCCATTTCCCTGTGTGACACCAACCATCTGTCTGCCTGCCCTCAAATCTGTCCTGCAAGAGCGAGACGCACCAGCATGTTCTGGGCCACAAGGAAACAGTCGTGTCCTTTTCTCTTTGGCGACATCGCAACAATCCTCCTTACAGCAACATCTGGTGACACAGAAAGTTACTACACAGGAACAAAAAACATCTCAGAGGCAAAACTGTTTCCATTTACAGTAAAAGAGGAAAAAAGAAAGAAAGAAAAAAACTGGGACATGAGAGGAAATTGCAGACGGGCTGTGTTATCTTTGTGGCTGCCTTTACAGAGGTTTGGGAGTTTTGGTTTCTGGAGAAGTGAGACAGAATGACCTTCACGGGGTGGTCATGTCTTATCGACCGGCACTAAAAGCCCAAGCTGGGCGTGCAGCAACACACAGGCAGAGGAAATGAGTTTAGAAAGTCAGGCAGATCATACAGGGGTGGCGCTGCTGCACGCTGCTCGACAGGATAAGCTTCCTGATATCCAGAAGTATTTAAAGTGACGTGTCTCAGAACTCTTTTTTTTTTTTTTAATCTGACACACTTACAAGATTTTGCATGGCTATTTACTATTTAATAAAATTAAGAAAATATGCAAAACGTGGCTTTTATTAGACACGCGATGCCCTGCAGCATTCACCAAATACACTGATTCTGTCAAAGGACTGGAGGAGATGAGAAAAGGAAGAAAAACTCAGCAGAAAGGAGATGATAGGAGGGGATTTGGGGATAAAGAAAAGAAGAGTCATGCATGGAAACAAGTCAGGGGAAGTCAATGAAAAACAGGACTGGAAGCAAACAACAAAGACTGAGGAGGAATAAAGAGGGAAGAAAAGAAGCGTGGATGTGAAAGAAAGCAGGAATTAAGGAGAAATGGGAAAAAGAGGAAGGCAAGAAAGTTATGTCATATCTCAGCTTCATTTAAAAAAAAACCCATCCTAGAGCAACTTCTAAAAAGCTCACCCATGTTTAGAGGATTCAGCAGGGCGTTATCAGTTAACCTCTGTTGGGGGAAAAAAGGGAAGTAGAGGGAGATTGTGATGGTGCAGAATAAACAATGCAGAGGTGAAGACCCTCAGGCAGAGAGATCAGGCCAGAGGCAGACAGAGACGAGAAAGACAAGCGGACTGGTGTTTGAGGCCCATGGCTGGAAAACACACTGGCACGGAGAGGAGAGGAGAGGAGAGGAGAGGAGAGGAGAGGAGAGGAGAG